GTTGATCATTTGGCCTGTTGGATCTTTGATATAAATGATATACCAAATGATATGTATAATACTATGTCGGCGGAACATAGGTTAATTTGGAACGTTTATTCAAAGGAAGAAATTGGAGGAAAAGTTAGACAACGTATTTCTAGATTACCTTTTGGAGTGGAAATCAATTTCGTACACGCAAAATGTAAAAGGTGTAATTGCTTGGGAGACCCTCGTTTATTTGATAATCTTTGTCATCCATCTAACAATCCTCCCCCAAGGCATAATATTCAAATGGAGCATTATCATCCACGTAAGTTAGTTAGGGGTCATTACGGTCCGGTCATTCTCGTTCATTCCGATAGTAAGAGACCTTCCTCAGAAAAGATCTTGCCCACTATGATTTCTGGTGCGCTCACGGGTGCTGCCGCTATTGGTAGACCTGCTTCCGCCGCCGGTCCGTACGGGTTAGCCGCTGGTACGATCGCAGGTGGAGTTCTCGGTGCCGCCGCCGGGGTTATTTGGACGGCTAAAGATAAGTGTAGAGATTGTCAACGTCCTTTCACGGATGAAGGATGTGTTAAACAATGCTCATGTTGTAAAAGATTTTTGGGTGAAAGTGGTTGTAGATGGAGATTTGCTTGTTGTCAATGGGAAGAAACTAAAATTGGTTGTAAAACTAGACCAATTTGTATAACTCCCGAATGTGATTTAGAAGAACTTGATCCCTGTGTATGCGGTGCTTGCGGGATGTTGTTAGGGACTGAAGGATGTTCAAGAGATGTTGATCATAATGTAATTTATGAGAAGGATGTTTTCGATGATACCGATTCATTTTAAACAATTTTAGGATCTTTTCTTTTATAAATTGAATGATTAAATCCTAATCAAACCCATATGTAAATAGTTCTAATCACATGACAGAAATCTTTTAGTAATATTGAAGTAGTAATTACTTGATAGGAAAGTATTGAAGTAGGAAAATGATCTTAGATATATGATCCGCAACGTAATGTTAAACCAACATAATTAAAAATATCAGTGCTCGATTCTTTTTCAATTTTAAAAACATTGACACATATAATTTATTTAATAAAAGAGAAAATTTTTTTTTATTTAGATATTTTTTTCTGATGAAATTATGTAGTTACGAAAGTGTAGCTGTTTTATTGATAATGAAATGTTATGTGTTTTATGATCTACTACTACAATTATTATGTAATCATCATCAGGTTTTTACTTGCTCATCATGAGAAAATGGGGGGATCTTTCAATTGAGTACAGTAAAATATAACTCTAACTATCATTAGCGGAATTACCGGAAAAGATTCTCTAAATCTACGATGTATTAAGTTACGTAACCCACAACAATTATATTCGAGTATTAATCAGGTATTCATTATTTGCAAGGGAGGAGTCATAAGTCAGATATCAGAAATGATCTTGATTTTTTTTTAAAAAAAAAAGTGATTTACGCGTAAAATGTCGCAGCTAGACCCGATTATTAAATTTTTTTAACTTTGAATTTAACTTGGAAGGAAGGTGCTTACGGTATTACCATCAACTAATCCAATTATTAGTATTTTCATGTGACATTTTTAAAATATCCGGTCTAGATTTTGGTTGTCATCACAAAATTCATCTGGTGTGACCTACAAATTTATTGTTATAGAAAAGATTTAATTATTTTTAAGATACTTTTGCATTTAAAGAAAAAAAATAACACTTATCTCATGGTTTCCTAATTAACGCCGTTGATTTTTTTAATGATATTTTTCACGATGAAATGGGTCGAGTTGATTTGAGCTTATAATTAGAAATTCCCTGAGATAAAATAGTTATTTCACGGATCATCCTCGATCTCATTATCATATCATCACGGCGTAGCCGTGATAAGTAATGATATCTATGGATTCCCGTTATACATACTAAGAATTTACTTCAATCGTTAAACTTAGCTTACCTAATAGAATAATAACAGAGACCGTTGTTCATGTCGAAAAAATAAATACATTTTTAAATGTTGTTAAATTCAAAAAAAAAAAAAAAAAAAAAATCAATTAAAAAAATTCGCGAACAAGATATTATATCCGCGTTATTATGAAATTGGTTCGATCAATTCAATTAATTGAATTGCAAAAATGGCACCAAGGAATAAGACTTAATATCTTACTTTAATTTTATTTGATTGTAAATATGTAAAGATCGATGTGTGATAACTAGGAAATTTCATAAATTAAATTTCAAATTTCTACCAAGATTTAAAATCTCTCGATAACTCGGCCAGATTTATAGCATTCAAAGTTGAACATGTACATTAATATGTAGCAAAACGTTGGAGAAAAAGCATTAAATCTTTTAGGTCACCAGTTGACTGGTTTTTACTTGCATTCAATCACTTTTTAATTTTTCTCAAATAGAAAACAATGTCGTAGTTCACTTTATTGGTTCCGAAATATATGCGTATAATTGTAAAAGCATTTCGTGACATTTTGGAGGGCGTACATGGTACGTACATTATCGAGAGTGGTCTTTGTACCCAAAATTGCCGATTGTCATTTGCATTGTAAAAGATTACACCACAGGATTGGATCGATATTTTAAGAAAAAAAACAATCAGCAGGTGTGGAATGAAATGAAAAGTTTTAACAATTAGGCAATTGGGCGGTGCATGTATAAGCATATTTAAATGTATTAAATAAATTCATGCACGACCCTGTTGAAAAATTTAAGAAATGCAAAACGAGGAATTGAACGTTTTTACGCCAAGCGATAAAAATCAAATGTGATTGTCGAACTTTTTATGCATATCGTAGAGTTATTCAATAGAGATAAGTAAATATTTACCGATGTTTGTTTTTTTAAGGCAACTGAAATGAAAATAATGTTATCGATATGACAATTTAGGCTTATCTGGTTACAATAAGGTTAGACGACATCAAAGATTGGGGGGGTCTTGTTCATTAAAATAAATTTTGTGCAATCCCGATAACGACGATTGTCTTCATTGTCTCTAAATTTTATTTTACGCGTTTAGGAAAAAAAAAAGAAAAAAAAAACCCCCCCATTATCTTGTGATATAAATGATTGAGATTCAACATAAAAACGTTTCACTTTCATAACAGAACAAAAAAAAAAAAAAAATTCCCAAACAACATTTTTATAAATAAAACAAAAAATGATGCAGTTTTATTCGTTGGATACACCAAAAAGCACACAAATTCTCGATGAAAATGTTAAAGTTGACAAAAGACTTAGACCCAATATATCTATGAGATCAAATGTTTCAAATTTATTCGAGGTCGAACCCGAGAAGGTTTATGCGACATCCGAATCATGGACCGGCGAAGTTCGAGTTCTTGAGAAGATGCAATGTCGTCATGGGTTGGTGGCCGCAGTATTGCAAGCTTATAACGGTCATCAACATTTGTGTTTTTCCCCTGATGACATCTGGTTAACCATAGCTCAAGGGGTTAGCGCTCATATTAACTTTAATTTTGAGAAAGAGAAAAATAAATTTGTTAACGAAAGGGAAAATATCATTCTAAAGGAAAGCAACTCATCAAGTGAATCAAGGGACTGGTCAAAATGTGTTGACGACCTTGTTGAGGAAACCACCAAATTGATCGAAAAGGTTGACTTAAAATCATTGTTGGAATGCGATTTTTCCACGAGTACGTCAAGTACAATCACGGCGAGTCGGGTCATCTTACTCGAGAGTATGAAGAATTACTACTCATATAACATGGGAATATTTTGCGGTATACCTAAAATTACGTTAGAAGGTAGGATCGAGGATTGGTTGTTGATTCAAGAAAAATTGATTCGATTACGGAATCTTAATCTGGACTTGGACTTTTGGTTAAATGATTTGGATTCGATTATTTGTCAATTTATTGAAACCTTTAAAGGAAATGTTGATAGACAATTTTGGAAAAACATCGCCAAGGAAGATTATGGTTGTGGTGGACCCCCCGAATTAACGGGTTGGATTACCAAATTCTTTCCTTATGATTGTAATGGTGATTTGGTTAACAATTGGTTAGATGAATCGACCTTACCTGATGGTAGAACAACCATCACATTTAATCTCGAGAAAGGAGAAAAGGATTCCGAGGATTTGCTTTTCGCATCAGGATTTTTAGGTGTAAAACAGCAAATTATTGAAAATTCCGATGAAGTTATCGTAAAACCTGTCATCGGTTGGGCAGTTATTTGTAATAGAGTCAAAGAATCTCCAATCTTGAATACCAACAATAAAAAATTCAGATTGTTTTGGTGTTAATCATCCAAAAGCTCATGACTTTAAGCGACGAGAATATAACCGCATCAAAAAATTTTGTATATAACTTTGAATTTATTTATTTATGTATATAAGAGAAGTCTCCCCTTTGGTGAGGGAAATTGAACATTTTTCATACTGAACTTGATATTTTTGTTAAATTGAATTCTTTACGACTAGGTCCTTTTCGTATCTTATGTCATTTATTTGTCACTTAATATAATTTATTATTTTTATTATTCTATTTAAGAGCGTTAGTCTATTTATCACGTGATGTACACTCACTTTGACATAATAAAAATAACCGTAAATCGGGGGTAAAATGCAAAATAAAATTTCTTTGTAAAACCGTAGCTTTGGAGGATTTCAATGTGAAGCAATCAATCAAAGCGAGATAATATGATTTACTATGTTCGTATCTGTCATATCCGTTAAGCATAATTCATGCCAAAATATCCGTGATCGCGGAAAGGTCCTCCTTATAGAGTTACTCCTTTGTATAGCAAAAGCTTGTTATAACTACTATTGATAACTTGATCAGCTTGTGATCAAGCAAAGATACTGATGCGATGATTTTTTCTTTTAAAAAAAAAAGATCAATCAATAAATACACATAATAATCTAATATTTACATGCCATGTTCCACGAGTTATGAAATTCCATCGATTTGGCTAATCACCATAAATAATTTTTTACGCTTTATTTAACGTAATATGATAAGGCATCATAATCAATGTTTAAAATCACGAAATCAAAAGGATAGTTGATGATATCATTTAAATTCACAAAAAAATAAATTTATAAATAATTCAGTTATTATAATTAGTTCGAATTAATATAGTCAAAATATTTTTATGTTCATCATTCCAAGTTAATTATCATTTTAAAGTAAAGATCAACTTTTGACATTTGATCATTGATGTCATTGATGTCAGACTGATGAAACTTATTTTTTACTACAATTATACAAGGTCAAATTGTTGTTTAAATAATGTTTGCTATTGTTTGTGACGAACCAAATCAAGATTGTGCCACAAAAAAATTTCAAATTCAATAAATTGGTCAAAGTTTTTCAATTGACAAATCATACGGGTCCGTGACGCGTCACAGGGACCAAAACAAGCAATCACGTGTGCTGATCGTCGTAAATTTAAAACTGCCGAGATAAAATATGCCGAAGTTTTTTCCGTCGCGCAAGCGCTAGAAAGATAAAAAGTGCATAAGCATCAATGATTACATCAAAACTTTGTAAAGCACATCTATGTGGCATTGTTTTCTTCTGTAATGAGTCCTGCACGCCAAACGAGATATGTATCTTCAAAAAGTCACCAAACGTGAATTTTTATCACGTTCGACATGAACAAATATCACGAAAAACTTTAAATAATAATTTGATAAAAATATACACAAAATTTTTTATAAATTAATTAATTACAATAATTACTTTTTTTTTTTTTCGATTGCTTAGATAAAACAATTAAATAAGGATAAAGAAAAACTGACTGATGTGGTGAGAAAAAAAAAATTCGCCAATTTCAACGTCTATTGAAAAAACTTCCAAAAGCGTGGCTTGGTCTTACTTTTATCTTCAACAACCGCCCATCCAATAACCGGAGATACCACTAATTCTCCGCTCTCTTCGATAATATCTTGCCTAACCCCTAAAAATCCCGATATTAGTTTTAAGGATGTATATCCTTTTACATTAAATGGGATGACAACCTTTCCGTCAGGTAAATCGCACTCATCGATGGAACTTCCTATCAACGCATTTCCATGTCGATCGTATGGTAAGAAAGCGGTTATCCATCCATTTAGGGTTGAGTTCGTATGTGGCGCATAGCCACAGCCACCAAGTCTATGGGCTATCCTCTTCCAAAATCTTTCGTTTACTTTGCCCTGATAAGTTGCAATTAATTGCCAAATAATGGGTTCTAAGCGGT